TTATTTATAAATGTTAAAACGTTTTAAGAACAAGTATACTGGACACACACAAATATAACTTCGCCTTGACCTATTTTTCTATACAATCCGAGTACGGTATTTGTAAATAACAGTTTAATAACATACCGGGCCAGTTCAGAAGATGTTTGCAAATAGTCGAATTTTTTTCGAGAATGATTCATATAAATTCCACTGTGATTTAGTTTTCAGCATTTTTAGTGTACATTTCGAGCTCTATACGTCACTACACATTCATGTAACGTCACACAGTCACACATGGTTGCATATTGACCAATTACCACCAATCAACGCAAGGTTGTCATTTTATTGTACGACACACATGATTGGATAAGGGATGAGAACGGTTTACAAGTCAACAAAGATTTTGCACCCGAATTCAGATAAGGAACCTCTTGTCGTTAAAGGTATTCCCCGATCCGTTGCAATTGAATCGTAGTAGAACATTTTTCAATATCAAGGACACCACATACTATAACAAATCTTACGTGTTAAGTACATTTACAAAAATAAATTTATGGTAGTCTTTTACATATCCCCATCATACATACGGTCATATATTAAAAAAATGAGACGTATCATTTTGTGCATTACATTGGGCAAGAACATCATCATAAACTTTTACTCATCGACTGCAATTTTTAAATTGGCGTGGGAACAGTATTGTTGACACATCTCGTACCCAACTGGCTAGTTGGGTTGAAATTACGTGTATACAATAAACAAATACACTTGATAAACGATGTGTTTATTGATGCTTTACAATGACATTGACATTGATGTAAAACAAACATCCGTTAGTTTACGGTAAAACTGATGTTCACAGAGCAACAGAGTATTAACTTTTCGATTGGAGCCAGACTTGTATACAATCTCTTATTTATTTTTTGTTCGTTTTTTCAATAATTTAAAAATATAATGTGGGAATGTGGTAATTCAGTTGTCGCCATTTACGCATTCCCATGATATTTTATTTAAAAAAAAACACCAACAAATAAACAAGTGACTACATGTATGCAAGTCTAGATGGGAGCACATTATTTTTGTTGCTGCTTCACTTATTCCTTCAGTCTTTACTCTCATGAAGTAGGATTGATTTAGAAATTAAAGGTCATCATTGTGGATTGTCTACTACCAGAAACTGATTTTACGTGAAGCACGATTACGGCATGTAACACACACCATCTGACGTCAAGTGTTGGATGTACCCAATGAGACTGTTTTGATCATGGAATGTCACAAAATGATTATGTTTGTCAGTCATTTGTTTCTTGAATATTGCCCTGAGCTCCTGGGCTTGTTAATATCCTTTATTCAAGTTGCTCATGAATGTTGTACTTGTAGTTCTTTTTCCCAGACTGAGAAAGAAGTTTTGTGCCCAAACACCATGCAGTGAACAGACTAAAGCGCGTTATCGATGATTTCGCTGCGCAACGTTCGGATAAAATACGGCATACAGTGTGCTCCCTGGATATATTAATTACAGATAAAGATACACGACGAACATATAAATACACAACGCAGGGTTCGAACTCATGACCATAACAAAACGCGTAGCGCAGTACGCCACAATATTAGACCCTTCAAAAAGCTGCGCAAAATAGCGTTTAATGAACACAGCGCTGCTTCGCTTTATCAAATTATTTATTACATCACACAAAGCACACAAAGAAAAACGTCCAACGTGACTAAACTATTACTGCGTTTCCATTTTCATATCCAGATGGAATTAAGATAAAGGGTTTTGAATACTATGCCACAAAATTGCCCGCGAGTGACCCTATGACACGACGGTATTAACACTGGGATATACTTGCGTTCGATTGATTTCTGGAGGTCAATAGTTGAATGGATCAGTGTCGACATGATAAAACGTTATTGCACAGGCGAGCAATCCATTAAAACAATCTTTGCATTTTACACTCACTGGATATTTTATAACTATTGCATCGTAATAATCCTCACCTATCGTTCACCAAGCTCCAGTGCTAAACGCCAATCAACGAACACATACAATTCATAGATAATGTGATTGTGATCAAACATGGGGTTATAAGTTTCCCGGTCAGTTTCAAGTGTAAAAATAGGCAACACACTTATACTTCTGAGCGAGAAAATATAATAGTACAATAATATGTAGCATTTGAATACATTAACCAACAGATCGAAACCGCTCCTAAACCTGTTCAACACATCTCGTTTTGTTTTTCAATCGGAGGCATCTTTTCTTCTGAAATTTCAAGTACCACAGCTTGCCTGCCTACCACTTATAAACGCATTGGTATTTTTAGTTGTGTACAAGGGACATTGGTCAACTTGTGTCTTGCGTGTCCTCTACAATTTACAATGTTTTTTTTCGCAGTTTGAGGTAATTGGAGCCCCATCGTTGATAAAAATAGATAATGTATGTCAAATTATCCTTCGAAACGGTACTGCTTCAACATTTCTTACACTATGGTCCTAAAAGTGTGGCAGTTTACACAGAATCTGCAATATTTAACTTTATTCTCATTTGACATTACCACAGTTAAACTATTCTAATCCACTAGCAATTTCAAGTGTCGGCGACTCCAGGTATGACTATGCATCACATCAACACCTATAAATTCACAATCTAATGTCATTTCTATTCTTCAGATGACAGTATTATATTTATCAATCTATGTCTCTGACAATGATCTACAGACCCAATCGTGGTCATCAGACATCATGGCACGCAATGAGAAAAAAAAATATTGATAACCATAACAATTACCAACGAGTACCACCGTTATGGTACGATTTTCTAGATGTTTTGACTTGTCCGCGATCAACTTGAACAATTCCCGTTTGTGAAAAAATGCATTGTCTTCCGTGACATGTCGGTTAATAGCTTCATTATAGTGAAACTTTTTTTTTAATTTCCAGTGGCATTTATTTTTAACACGCACACAGGAAGTATGAACCATTCGAATGCCGGTACAAGTGTCACTTTTATACCCGGATGTCGTAATTAAGAATCAAGTAGTCACGAACTGACATGCAGTAAAATCAGTATTACTGCCTTCTTGATACACATTTCTTGGAGTCACGTGCCAAACCGAGCATATACTATGCAAATTAGTGCACCTCGGAATTATCCATGGATAATTTGATTTTCAAGTAATACCTAAGTTGCTCAGGTTTTTTGAGGTTGTTGTTACTTTTGAATTTCATAACTGTCGAAGATGTTCGGTGCGGAAAGAATGATCGCACCGGTCCCGCATATCACGGCGATTAGAAACATCAATAAAAATATGCGATCCATCACCATGGCAACGTACTTCCACTCCTCGCTCATCTGTGGAGAGACAAGAAACATAATGTTAGATCCACGTCTTCGAACAACAGCGCCTTCAACGGATTTACAGTACACAGGTAGGTGGCGTTATAAAGTCAATATATCGCGTTGAATACCGCAAATATCACGTAACTAATTATATATTCCAGATGAAATCAGCATGCACAGTAACAGAGCATTCTGCTTTAATTTATTTTCATCTTGTGAAAATAAATATAATAAATAAATCGTTAGGTATAGTCACTTGATCACAGTTACAACATATGTGTGGTAAAAGTTGATTATCATTCTAGAATATCGCAATAATAGTAAAAATTAATATAATTTGAAAACAAATAATACGTAAACATAGTTCGAAAATACACTTCGATGAAATGCATTATCAGCGGATTACGAATAGCTCTTCCTTTTTAATGTGACAGTCGTTCTTTATAAAAGCATCTACGAATCATAAAACTGAAGAACTACGAAAGATCACTGATGTATCCCCAAATGCTAATTGAAAAAAATGGGTGTGGTTAATTCGTATTGGAAGAGAGTGTTTCAATTTGTCTTGTAATTTTGTCTTTTTTCCCCGGTAATTTTAAATTGTATCGAGGGAGCATAAGTGCCACGTTTAATGTACACCACCATCGCAGGGAAGCGTGCTGTGTGGTTGGCATTATTGCACCCAACTTGCACCCTACGTCGATGTTTTGAATAAACAATAGGCGTTGATGAATCGATGAGCGCAGCATACCATGGAGCGCCAATTTACATTCAAAAATTGCTTAGATTAGCTCACAGTGGGATCCATTGATCATTGTCACGAGGTTTATAGCTGCATTGGCGAGAAATTTAGTCCCCAAGATTATCAAATCTCGTCAGTTTCGCTGTATTTTCCGAAATTTGGGCTTTCGCTATATCCGTTTTACGGAATGCAATATTGCAGCCTTTGTTATTTGATAAAGAAATCCTAAGGGGATCGCGTTTGCGTTAAATATGTTCTTGCTCATATGGCTACATAACATATATACTGCTGGTTTGTTGTAACGTGACATATTTGTAATTGGCCGACTAATACCCTAACACTGTGGGAATTTGGTAAACGCGGTCGTTTTACAAACAACTGTAATTGCACGGTTGAAGACTATATACATAACATCAGATGAAAAATCGTGTTTCACGGTACATGTGAGATGTATGTTAATTGCTTTGCATTTAGACGAAATACTTTTCATGGACATTTTGCGTTCCACTTGCCAACGCCATCCTACCACGCGTTCTCGAGGGTTAGGCGAGGCGCTAGGTGTATCCTAATTTAAATTTATGCACACCTCACACGTGCTATGAGTTGTCATAATCATCTCCTGAAACATTCCACGTTTCTTAGCTAATTGCGAATGGGGGGAATTCCCAATAATCAAAAGATTGTAGATAATTGACACTGTTTACATTGACGACATATTTAATCAAAGCTAGGGCCAGCCCATAGTTGACGGTGCTATAACTAGGCTCCGTAGCTTGGAGTTAGTGGAATAAGTCCACCATGGTTAGGAGAGCGGTGGATGAGCATTAGATAATGGAACATATTTGAGGGAACAAAACAAGTATCTGACTGTCTCGCTTTCACCGAGATCTCGTCGGCATTTACATCTATGGTTTATTGATATAATTTGTTGAATCATATTTTCCAAGTTCCCTTAAAGCGGAAGGGTTGTCACCTGCGCACGCTCGGGAATTGAGTCCCAAGCGATGATAGCAACACACGCTAAAAATGCAAAGGCTCATGGGTAAACGTTTGTTTGTAAACAATGACACGCTATGGCCATCTGGCGCATGCGCAGGTGACGACTCCCTCGCTTTAACTTGTTTAAATTTCGTATCCTGTCACTTTAATAAACAGTACATATGCCGGCGCCACAAACTAACACATTATGTGCTATGGGAGTTGATCATTGCTTTCGTAAAATTGAATGTAGATTATTTTGCAGAATACAAAGTGTTTGCGGCATGTCGAATATAGCGGAAAATATATTTTCACTTGACTTTACTGATTCATTAGAAACAATAATAAAGTGCTATGTACTATGTCGCTGCGCGCATGATTAAATCGATAAGAGTGAGTTCAGCGATTTTGATAAGGCCATCATGATTACATTCTTAGTTACGCGATCGCATGGGTTTTAACTTTTCAAACACCAAAGACACCTTTCGTTATCTCATTCAAAAATTCTGTAGGGATTTGAAATGTGGTCAATTAGTTCCAAAGACATTCACACATTGTGTGACATTAAAAGGACTAAAAGATGTGATTAATGAAAAACATGTTCAATATTGTTTGGTGCTAATGAAGATAAGGATGTAACTGTAGTGAAAACAATGGAGACATACAAAAGGAATTGAACATGCTAATTATTTGTGGTACTGTCATATACCCAAGACTTCTGAAATAGAACCAATCTTTATACAAAGACAAAATATAAAAATATCTTTTGCGATAGACAACACCTCAACAATCGCTCTTCACATACATTCATACTCTAACTCAATAGTCTGCGCTGTATACTCTCAGTTTCTACCAGTCATTATCCAACAGCTCCAAAATTCACCCGTCAAGAGAGCAATTGAAAAAAGGTAATTGAACGAGGTGCTGATACGTTTGTCACCGGATATCCGGTGGCCATTTTAAAAATACTTACAGTATTAAAGTCATCTTCGTTTCTAAGATGTTGAGCGATAAATTTCACATTTTGTACTGCTTCGTCAACGCTGGCAGGTATGGAAGCTGAACCACAGCAACCAGTAAGGGTTCGCATACAAAATGTGCCAGTTTCATCGGGGCCTTTGAACACATCTTGTGATATAGTCCTAACTTTCGAACCCCCTGAAAAACATTCATTAGGTCTGAAATTTTCATCCATATTCTGTGTTTGGGGTTCGTATTCTTGGAGTTCAATATCTGAATTCAGTTTCAACTCCCTCATATGGCCAACTTTGCTTTGGCTGTACTTTCTCATTCCGATCCAAGGTGGAATGCTTTCTAGAAAAAGCTTCCTCACCCACGGAGACATTGAATGTGTGCTTGGCGAGCGATGGTGCACGTTCAACGCTATTACTGTAATTACAATTGAGCAGGTCACTAAAACCATAGTGAAGAGAAGATAGCGCCCGATTAAAGGTATTAACACTGATGTTGGTGGAATAATCTCCGAAATCAGCAACAGGAACACAGTCAACGCTAGCAAGACGGAGATACAGAGGGAGATCTTCTCACCGCAGTCTGATGGCAGATAAAACACCAATACGGATAGAAAGGAAATCAACACACAAGGAATGATCAAGTTCACGGTGTAGAAAAGTGGTTTCCGGCGAATAATGAAACTAAAAGTGATGTCTGTATAGATCTCCTCGCAGCATGGGTAGTTCTGAACGTGTTTTGTTCCAGGAGAGCCTAATATATCCCACTCTCCACTCTCCCAGTAGTCTTCCAAGTCGACATCTTCGTCCATCATGACTAAATCCAAGACTCTCCCGTCATAAGTCCAGGAACCAAATTTCATGATGCAATTCTGCTCATCAAATGGAAAGTATTGCACATCAATTTTACACGCACTTTTATAAATAGCAGGAGGAAGCCAGTATATAGTACCCGTGTTGTACACCAATGCTTTCGTCATCAGGGTGGGTTCGTAGTTTCCATCCGCGCTGTAAAACAAGATGATTTAAATGTTGGTTTATTGTTACTCGAGAACACATATCATACATAATATCAGAGAGAAGGTGACACCAATCGGTAGAACTACATTGTTTGCCAAAGTTCGAAGCACAGTTCTGGGTCAGAAGGACAGATGATGGTTAAGTTCCTCATAATTTAATCTTGGTGATATTGTTTAACAAAGTAAAGTATATATTCAAATCATGTGTCCCTAACCCCATGACGCCATGTTTTAGGAATCTTGTTCTAAACTGGCAGAGACAATCTAGTCTGGTATTGGTATTGGTGTAGCATTATTACTGCTCTTCCAGCATTCAGTCATCAAAACTGATAACAAATGAGTTTTTGCCATTATTAGCTTTTTCGACCAAACCGTACCCATGACACCAACCCCTATTTGGAACACGCATCATCGAGAAAAAAAACATTGCATGTATCACACACGTCATCACAACAACCAGGTACCAGTCTATACAAAACAAATATCTAACCAATAAGAAGGTGTTGGATAAACCATGAATCTATTTGAGATTATCAACACACCATTTAATATAATATTATTATAATAGTATTTGAATACTCCGTACCATGTAATACATGTCGGAATATATCTCTCATTAATCCTTCTTTATTGCCTATTGGATGTTCTCATTTAGTGTAGTGACTATATTCATATGGGTATACAATTTAAATATCACTGGTAATGTTTTAGATCACCTAGCAACTGAACTCCCATTACATCCATGGTGACCGGTAATATTTCCAACAAATGGAAGGTAAGTAAGACAAATGCTTTGAAACAGATGTTTCAGAATATTATTGAATTAGGTAACATAAACAAACGGAACATCGATTAAATAAATTTCCCAACAGAACAGATGGTCTTAATATTCTATCATCACATCTGCTGGTATGCCTCATTGAAATCGATTTCGTATCAGCAACACATGCTGCTGC